GCACACCCACTGGGACCTTCGGTGGGGCTCCCTTGTGGGGCCACGAAACGTGCGAGGGGTGTGCCGAAATGGGTGTGCGGGACGCATGCGGGCACACCCACTGGGGCCTTCGGTGGAGCTCCCTATGGGGCCACGAAACGTGTGAGGGGTGTGCCGAAATGGAGGAGGGAGGAGGGGGAGGAGGAGGAGAGGAGGAGAGGAGAGGAGACGCGGGCCACCGTCTCTTCAAAACGAGGACCCAACACCACAGGATGCTGGGAAAAAATTGCAAAGAAACCAAAACTGCCCATCTCCTTGCACACTCAAACCGTCAAAAATACTCGGCCGCCACCTGGAGACCACTGGGCCGCGCGGCTGGCGGGCTCTATCCGGCTGCGCCCGGACAACTCGCCCGCGCTCTGACGGAAGGCACTGGGCTAAGCTCATCACGAACGCTGCGCGCGAGCTGTCCAGCTCCGCGTCGGCGTGGAAGCCCCGAGCCACAGGCCAACGGGTCTGAAACCCTGAAGCGAGGGATGTTCAAGCACGTTGGAAGCTCAAGATCGCGGCGCAGCGCGAAGCGTGAGAAGGGGACGTCCTCCGACCAGTAGCCATAGCAGGGAGCAGAGAGCAGGAGGGACTGGAACGCGAAGGGTCTGTGGTGCCGCCTCCGCAATCTGGCCGAGCTCAATCCAGGTTTGCGTTTGGAGACCCTGGCTCGGCTGGCGGTCTTCATCGAAGAGCAGCTCCGCCCTGACCGTAGAATGCCACGAGACGCCAGCGCCTCAGGCGGCCCACGCGCGCAAACTCACCCCTGTCGCTAGAGGTGAGACACTTGAAAAGAAAAGAATTCCTCCCGCGCGAAGCGGACGGCACCCCGTTGACCGTCGGGCGGCGAGCATCCCGACTAGCATTTGCTCCGACATCTAACTCAGATCGAACCGACTGAGTCTCGCCATGTGAAGCGGGATGCGCATTCGCTCCGCCATCAGACTCGGCTCGAACCAACCCAGTTTCGCCATGTGACGCGGGATGCAACTGATCAAATACCATCCGTTGAGGAACATTTTGGTCGCGCTCATACGGTGCTGCCGCGCGTCGACGAGGCCGCCCTCGATCTGCCGAGCGGCCGCTTCCGTCCCGTCCGTCGCCGCATCCGTCGCGGGAAGCCGCGGCGGCAGCGGCGGCGGCTCAGGAGGCGGACCCTTGCTCGACGCGCGCAGCCGCGGCCCTGCCTTGGCTGGCGGACTCCGCGAGAGGGCGCGCGGGCCGGGGCGAAGGCAGGGCCACCTCGCGGCGGCGACGCCTGCGGGGGCGGTCGCGCCTGGCGGGCGCGCGGAGCAGCTGCCCCCGACCGAGGAGGCCGCGCTGCGGAGGCGCTCGCGCGCGACTGGCAGCTCGTCACGCCGCGCGCGAAGATACCTCTGCTCTGCTGCTGCTGCGACGTCTGCGACCCCGCTCGACGGGCGACGGCGGCTCCGCTGGGACACCCCTGCGGCGCTCGCGGCGAGCCTTCCGCGGCTCAGATCGAGCGTGCACTTCGGGTCACGGAGGTCGCGGCTGGCCTCCTGGCGGCGGCGGCGCGGGCGCTCGACGCGACTTGGCCGCGGTGTTTTTGGCCGAAGCACCCAGCGAATACCCATCCGATGGCGGATCAACCTGAATCGGAGACGGCCCGGCTTCCATGGGCACCGGCACGGGGCCTTCGCGCGGCCGGGCGGGCCAACGCGCGAGCCTTCGCCCTGGGAGGGGGTCCGCGCGCGCGACCCGCTGGCCGGCGCGCGAGCGACCCTCTCGTTCACAAGATGGCAGCGGAGCCACGTTTGCAAGGAGAACTGCGCGTTCGCGCTCGCAGGCGCGCGCACGCCCTGACTGATATTTCTACATGCGCCCACGACGACATGTAATTCCTGCCCCACTGATCATCATCTGATAGCGCCGTGCACGTAGCTTCAATGCCCCAAGACGAAGCGATGATAGCACGCGAGCTTGCCTCCCCTGGTCAGGGCGCCACGATGAACAGGGACGTCCCAGGCAGAGAATCAAATAGAGGGGCGGGTTCTCGATCAGGACGGACAGGCACACGGCGGTAGTCAGACCATTGCTCCTCGTCGCACGCAGTCAGCTGGCGCCACTGCCTCGAAGGCCCAGTGGGCTTTCCTGTCGAATTGAGCGCGACAGCGCATGGCGTGTGCTCAGGCCATGGTTGGCCATAGCGCCAGTGGTCTCGTTGTCATATTAAAATGTGATAGGAGCGAGTGTACTGATGGAAGCTCGGGCTGGGGCGCTGTCGCGGCAGTGGTAGCGACCGCTGCGTCAAAGCACAATTCGACCCACAGCGCTAGAGGCAGCTGCCCGACTCGCAGACGCCGCGCGGCTCCCGATCCACGCGGGCCCTCGAGCATCTCGTAAAGCGTCACGACTAGAAGTATACCGTTATCCGTAGAGCTTGATCGCGGCCATGGGCTCACAGGTGAAGACGCTGCCGGTCACGATCTTCATTGCTCCACGCCGCCAATCCAGCAGGAGGCAGGGGCGCGGGCCGACACGGAGGAGCTGCTCGGCTGAGCTCGCGCGGCCCATGCGGAGAAAGATGGCCCCGCGAAGTCTATACCTGAGTTCGGTTATTGTCGGAAAGCTGCGCCCCTAGCTGGATATGTGGATATATATATATATATATATACACACACACCTCTTCCTGTATGTTTACATGCCCGGGCGGGGGGGAGACCCTCACCCCTCCCGAAAAACCGGACCCCCGGGATCTGGGGCTTTGGGACCTCCCGGACGGGCCTCGAAGCGGCCCCCCGGGCAGGGCGTTTTGCCAAGCCTTCCCAGCGCACCTAGGGCGATCGGGGGGGTCATCGGAGACGTCCCAGAGACCCCCAAGACAGCACAAGAGCGCTCCGAGAGTGACCGCCGCGACTTCAAGACGACCCCCAAGAAGCCGTCATACCCCCAAAGATCGTCCCGAAACGTCCCGAGAGGCCTCCAAGAGCACTCCCAAGAAGGCCCAAAAGGCACAAGTCATTGATTTGTTTTATGGTTTTTGGTGAATTGTGGGGTTTTCCTCTTTTCGGCTCCTCGACGCTCCAAGACGGCGGTCTTCTGGGCGTGCGAAACCGCCTGGGAAGCTCCAAAATCGCCCCATAACCATCCCAAAGGGCTTCCAGGCAGTCCAAGAGAGCCCAGAAACGGCACAACAAGGGTCCAAGATGGCCCTCACAGAGCCCCATGGCGGCCCAAGATGGCCCCAAGACACCTTCCGAAGAATTCCAAATCGTGACCCAGTCGTTCAAGGAGACCGCGGTCGGAGGCAGGGCGGCCCGAGGAAGCCCCCGGAGGTCCCCAGAACACATCCAGGAGGCCTCCAAAAGGCCTCAAGAAAGCCTGAAATAACTGTTGCGAGGCCCCCGGAGGCTCTCCAAGGAGGAGCCTCCGCAAAAAGAGCTGAGGAGGATGGGGAGAATGCGCAGGGCATGGCGAAAATGCTGACAACACAAGCATGGAGGAAGGGTATCGAATAACGCTATTATAGCGGCCATGCCGGACAAGGCAACAAGGAGTTATCGCTAAATTGTCGGCTTGACCTTCCTGCTATTCCACCTGCATACCAAACTTCCAGGACCAAAGTGCATGGCGCGAAGCGCCAATGCAGTCTTATATATATATATATATGTGTGTATATATATACAAAATATATTATATATATATATATATATATATATATATATATATATGCGTATATACATACATATATAGATATAGTTCCGAGCGCCGCTCTTTCCACTCAGGCCAGAAGCAACTTGTCGCGGTGACTGCACTGCCCTGCTTATGCAGGAATCCCGCGACTCATAAAACTTGGTTCAGAAAAGACCGGTCTTAGAGACGCATGAATTCCCCTCAAAGTCAGGGGATCATTGGCAAGGAGGGCGTGGTGGGAGCCTTTGAGCCCCGATGGAGACGGAGGAGGACAGAGGGAGGGAGAACGACCCCAGCGGGGGACGTTTGCAAGCACTCCAGCCTCAGACGTCACAACGGCCAGCCGTGAAGACACTTTGCACGGAGCTAAGACGATACGGGTCATCTTACAAGCTCCGAGCGCCATTTTTCCACTCAGGCCAGAAGCAACTTGTCGTGGTGACTGCACTGCCCTGCTTATGCAGGAACCCCGCGACTCATATAACTTGGCTCAAAAAAAGACCGGTCTTACAGACGCATGAATTCCCAAATCGCCAACATTGATCACTGGAGGCAGGGGCTAGCAACACAAACACTGCTAAAACCAGCTAGTGAGCGAGCGGCAAACGCGTTCCTGAAGCATTGCGCCAGCAGTCTGCAGAGGGCAGGCGGGCACGGCTCAGCTATGTGAGTACGGAAGACGCCGTCTATCTTGCCAATCAACTCAACGCTCGGCTGGCCTGTCCTTGAGCAAATACCGCGGCCCTGACACTTACGCTCACTAGCCGAGAGGTCGACATGCACAGCAACGAATTGAATCCTTTTTCTCCAAGGGCGATTGACCATGCAGAAATCGGTTCTGTAGATCGAGGCTGTCTTCAGCGCCAGCATGTGCTTCATGGGAGGGCATATCCACAGGCGGCTGGCGGCGGGGTTCTCGAGCGCCGCCGGCATCTCTAGTCGCGAACACAGCCGCAACACGGAGCAGGAGAACGCTAGAAGAGCGTTACCAACCGTCACGGTATACGGATCTACATCCCTGAGGTCTGGAAGTCCCATGGGGTGATCATCACTGCGCAGGCGTGGCGGGCCGTTGGGCTTGTCGCGAGCTCGCGAAAAGTTGGAGCACGGTGTGCCCAACCACACGGCCACCACCTGGCCGCACATGATCCACCCACGGATGCGCTTCTGTACGCTGGGCACCGTCGCATCAGACTGGTCTCCGTGCTTGAGATCGAACTCTATGATGGGCGCGTCTATCCGTCGACGCCACCCTCGAGAGAGGCATCCACTGCCAGCGCAAATCTCCAAGGCGAAACTAACCGATATGAAATTCGCCTTCAGGAAAGCCAGCGCCCGGCCAGGATGCCGCCTATCTGCGCGGCGCATTGGAGCGCGGCCTGGCGCGCGCCGGGGGAGAGCTGGTGCAGCTGCTCGACCAGGCGCCCAGCCTTCTGGTACCTCCTCACCGGATTGGGGGCTGCCCAGTTGCCGCGATGCTTGATCTCGAGCACCGCGCGGCGGCCGAGGGCGCAGCCCAGGCAGGCCCCTGCGCGCCGAAGGCCGTGGAGGGTCGGCGGGCCCACCGGCCCCAGCCCCAGCCCCAGGCTGGCTCGGCGGTGCTCTCGCGCCCAGGTCGGGTAGTCGAAGCCGAACAGCTTGCGCTCGGACCCTTCGCCGGGCCCGCGCAGCCGGGCCAGCACGGGGGCCAGGAACTGGCGATCGTCGAGGTCGAGCATTCGCGAGTCGCCCCAGCGGTTTGTCTTGGACGGCCGCCCGAGCTCCATGGGACGCTGCACAAGGGCCCACCTCCGCTGGAACGCTCGACCGCCCGCCAGGGGCGGCACCAGCTGGCAGGCCCTCAGGCCCAGGGGCTCGCCGGGGCGGAAGTAGAAGACCACGCACATGACTATCGCCACCGCCATCTCCCACTAGCCCCTGCGCACAAAGAAATCCGCCAGCAGACAAACCACCTCCCACGGAGTGGGCAGGCGCGACTGGCTCGGCGCTCGCAGGCACCAACCGCGGAGGGCCTGCCGCACACGCGCCAGCCTCGCACCTCGCTGGCGGCTGACCTCCGGGCGCAGGTAGCACGCGGCACAGACCAGGCGGCCCCCTAAACTCGAGTGGACCCCATCGAAGTACTTGCAGTCGAAGTAGTCCAACATCGCTGTCTCGAGGTCGTCCTCCGACTCGATCGGCAACTTCTGCGCTGAGGCCCACTCCTCGAACGCTTCCCAGCTCGCCTGGTACAGCTTGCGCGCGCGTGGCCTGACACTCTCCAGCTGCAGAGAGCTCATGCGGCCGAAGGCCGCGGGTGCCGCATCCACCGCCCAGCGTCTGCGGGCCGGCCCCCGAGCTGCCGCCACTTTGGCCCTGCTGCGGCGGCCCCGCCGCGCAGGCGCCATCGCGGGCATCTCCGAGCGCCCGGGAGAGGCAGGGGCGACACCCCGGCCCCTCGCCTGGTCGCCCCGCGTCGGCGCTCGCGCCTGCGAAGGCGTCGCTGCGCGCCGCGGCCGCGCACCGCTGGCTGAGGGCGGCGGCGCCCGGGTCAGGATGGGCAACTAACTCGCGGCCGCCATCCGCCATCCGCACTGCCCACAAGCGAGCCCGCGCCTCGAGAGGGCATCCGCCGAGTTGAGCTCGCCGGAGATCCAGCGCACAGTGGCGACGCAGCCCGGCACCAGCAGCGACGACGCCCGTGCCCGCACCGCCCTCAGCATCCCGGGGGCCGAGCTCCGGCCCTTCGATAGAGCCATGGTGGCGGACATCGAGTCTGACAAGAAGAGGAGCCTCCGACCCCACCAACGTGCGTTGCGAAGTTGATGCCGAAGTCCCCAGAGGGGTTTATCAAGTACAGGCATACCTTCAGAGCGTTTCCAAGGACGTGAACACACCACAGACCACTTCCCTTTGAGGAGCCTCTCGGGGACCAACGGCACGCGATCATCCTCCTCGATCCCCCAGTCCACCTTGCCGCCCACGGCGGCGCCCGGCTCAGCGTCTCCGCCACGATCCCCAGGAGCACGGCGGCCGACCAGGGCCTCCTCGATGAGCTCCGCGGCCTGCTGGCGGGCCCCCCCAGGCCCTCCCCGAAAACGCCACCTGTCCGAGTACTTCATGGCCTCTACGATGTCGTCCTGGCTCCCCTCTGAGACGGTGACCCCGCACCCCCACTCCGACGCGTCACTCGACACCGCCACGGGGCAGACGGAGGCCGACAGGTCTCTCCAGCAGAAACGCACGAGGCGCGAGGCCCAACGGAGCTCCCTGCGAACCACATCCCAAAGAGGTACCCGCTCATGTCGATGTCTAGCGATAAACGCGTACACCGCGTTGAAGCAGCACAACAACTCCCGACGCACCAAGAAGGCGTGCGCACAGTGCCCCTCGAGGACCTCAAGATCCCCCCCAGAGAACCCAGGGCGACTGATAGCATATTGGAGGGCCAAGCGGACCCTCCAGACACGCCTCTCCTTAGCACACACCACTGGCCGCTCACTCGAGAAAAACCACCCGAAAGCCCCCCCTCCAGGTCCCGCTTCGACGGGGTGAGCCCGCAACCCGGCGAGACGGCGCTCTTCGGCCACGCTCTGGGCCGCGGCCCGGGCGTTTCCGGGGACCTGGGAGGGGGCCACAAAGTTGCCAACGTACTCGGAGTGGGCGAGGGGGGAGACCGGGGGAGGCTGACGGCGATCCTGGATCCTGGACTTCATCCCAAGACCTGGGACCCGGGAGCTGATGTCCTCGAGCACCCTCTGACGCCAATTCAACGCGTGGGTCCATCCCATCGCCAGAACACAAATACGCGGATACACGAGAGTACTAGGTGAGACCTGAGACCCTTCAACGGTGACCGACACGCCGACCCTGCCTGCACGGACCGGCGCGAGACCGAAGTACGGGCGAAGCTCAACAGCCATAGCAAGCTGGTAGAACGCATTCTGTATGTCAGTCTGACCAAGTTCCACAGTGAGGTCAGCCGCAGAAAAGAGGCGTGCATACGAGTCCCCAGAGGCCAGTCGGGTCTTCGGAGCATCTCTAAACCAACATTTCGAACGGCGAGCGTCAATGATGAGGCGCTGCTTCCCACTCCTTTTCCAGACAAGTCTCGACCACGTCGAGAGAGTACTCAATCCTTCCTTTGCTTGAGAGGAGGGCCAAGAGCCGCTCGTACTCTCGAGGCCGGCGCAAAAGAGGGTCAGGGCAAGGATGGCGCCGGACTCCCCCGAGACCCAGCCGCCCCTCTGCCTGATCCTTTGGCAAGAGAAAATATTTCACAAAACCGCGGACCTCAGAGCGGCCATCAGGCAGCAGCTGGCCCAGGTCGACAGGCGCGCCGGCCCCGCCCAGGCTAGGCTGAGCAAGCCCATGTCCATCGGCGCCACAGCCACAGGAGCACCCTCATAGCTGTGGTTGGCCCGGAGCTCATCGAAGGCCCCCTGGCAGGTGAGGTCGGCAGGCGGCCGGCCCCACCGCTCGAAGCCGGCTCTCACGTTCGCCATGCCGAAGTCGTGCACACACGGCCGGAAGCGGGAGGAGGCACTGCTCACAGTGTCTTTGCACTGACGTCCTCCAATCTCATTCAAAGAACGGGCCACGTCAGCACACCACTGGTTGGCGTGAGATCGGGCCTCGACGCGGCGCCTGACCTTCCGGCTGACGTCGCGCTTCCCGGGCCCCGCGGGGATGAGGAAACCCTCAGCATGAAGAGGTAGCACATCACGCTGACCAAAAACCACACCAGACTGCTGAAGCCGCAGGCGCTCCCCCTGCGGCTGACGGGCGCGCAGGTCGGGGCCCTCCTGCCGCCCTCTCGATGGCCTAGCCATCTTTGCGCGAGAGGCGAGCCTCCTCCCGCGCCTTACGCATCCGCTTCGCCACGCTGGCGCCCTTCTCGATCTCTTTGGAGACCCGCTCCACCAGCTCAGGACAGATCATCACCTCGCCTCCAAGCCTGTGGGAGCCCGTGAAGTAAGCGGCCTCCTCGCGCGACAGCCCAGCACTCTGCTCCTTGCCGCCGGCCGCCTTGCCCTTCTTCTCGTAATGGTACTCGATGAGCTGGCATCTTCGCAGGATGACCTCTACGCCCACCAAGTTGGGGAGGTCGATCTGGTCGTACTCCCCGAAGAACTGGAACGCCCTCATCCCGTGCTCGTGCTCCTGGACCCCGAAATCCGAACCCTGCAGGCGCAGATGGCCGACCAACCAACGGCGGTGGTCGACTGGGCCTCCCCCGCGGCGGTCCACGAACCGCGCGCGCCAGTCCACGGTGCGCGGCCCTGGCAGCGGCCAGTCCGGGAACGAGACCTGGGCCATCTTCGAGACCGTCTCCCGCCAGAGCCGCTGGCGAACGCTCGTCGTGTTGAATGCCACCGGCAGCACTCGAGCGTCGAGGTTACCGCCCCCCGCGCCACGCCGACTGGCCGTCCGCGCGAGGTAGTCCTCCCGAGACTCGTCCTCGTGCAGCCGCTCCACGAACACCCACGCCTCGTTCGGCACATGCGCGACTCCGATCAGCGAATCACCTGACAGGCGTGACGCATCCCTGACAATGATGGGATCACCTGCCTTGCCGTCGCTGCAGTCGACGGCGATCACCCAGCGTCCAGGCGGGCTCGGCGCCCCCCGGCCGGGGGACCGCCGATCGGGTCGAAGCCGCCCAAGTCGCTGCCGCCCGCCAGCGGGGCCGGCGCGCGGTACCCCCGCGCGGCGCCCCCCTGGTCGCGCACCGTCTCCGCCTGCTGCGCCAGCCGCCGGAGGGCGTCGCCGCGGGGCATCTGGCCGAACCTGCACCCGCGACACCGTACCTGAGCGGGTTCCACGCCTGGAATGTTCTCCCAGAGCACTTCCCTGATGTCCTCATTGACTGCAACGCCCTCCACGTACATGTCGCCATCGGGTGTCACCGCCACCCACGCATCAGCGGACGACTGGAGCTGCTGCAAGAGCAACCTTTGATGATACAGAGCGGGCCCGCCCACTCTGCAACGCAACCACGCCACTTGGAACCTCTCCTCGCGGCCCGCCATGCTCACCACGGTCGAAGCGAGCTGAACCCCACCGTCCGCAGCGCAACACGACTGTCACGAAGCCACCAGTCACACCCACTCCAGTCACAACTCCCAGCAGGAAGAAGATCAGGCCACCACCGCTCTGCACGTCGCACCTTTCCGCCTCGGGCGCCGCTGGGCACTGGCTGGCGCGGCGCGCCGGGCAGGGCGGGCAGGCCGCCGGCGAGGGGCAGCTGACCGTCGGGCACGGTGAGGCCGCCGGGCAGCGAAGCAGGTAAGCCTGCGCGACCTGCGCCGCCGCCTGCAGCCCCGGCACCCAGAGAGCCCCTGCCATCCGCCGCGAGCCCCCGCTCGCGCTCAGCCTGTGAGCCCCGATGGAGACGGAGGAGGACAGAGGGAGGGAGAACGACGTCGTCGCGTTTGGCGATGAACTCGTTGCTGTATAGCGCGGGCGCAGCTCAGTAGAGGCAACGAGAGGGATAGACTGGCACTTCGGCGTCTCCATGGTTTGTCCATGTGAAGTACCTCCAGGGCTGCGTCGAAGTCCTTGTAGCCCTTGGTTCTGCGAGACACTGCATCGGCGCCGCGGGGAGCTCGAAGTTCACCTCGCGTCGAGTCTCACCTGTGGCCTCTGCCAGTTCGTTGAAGCGAACGCCCGCGGAACACTCCTCGTTAACATCCCACGCGTCGGTCGCCCATCCTCGGCGCGCTGCATCAAGACCAATCACTTGTTGCGAGAGCCGCGAGGAGGCGCCGGCGCAGGTCGCGACAAAGTCGACGTCGGCGCCCTCGCAGCCTCGCGCAGTCAGGCGCACGCGGACGATGCGCACCTTCTGCGCGGGATCCGTCTGCGCGCGTGCCAACGCGCATTGGCCAACCCACCCGCGCTCCAAGATGCCCCTTGCTCCGAAGCGAGATCGCCGCGAAAGGCGATCGTGGCCGGCCCAAACTTGAGGGCCTTCCAGCACAGCGGCGGCCGCGGCGGCAACGACGCGCGCTGGGCGGGCAGGTCGGTGTCACGCTTGATCACGGCCTTCTCGCGGCCCGCGACGCGCGCCCAGAGTAGGGCGCAATGGCCGCTGGGCGCGGGGTGGTCGAGGACCTGCTTGCGCATCTCGTCGGGGGCTAACATTCCGACGCGCATCCCCGTCGCCGTCGACCTCCACGGCCTCGGGCGCGGCCAGAGGCCCCGCGTCGACGACCATGCAGCGGCGGCGCTGCTGCGCGTCTTCTCAGATGGCATGCGGTAGTAGACGCGACGATGCTGGCCGAGGTTCGGCATCGCTGACGGAATCGAACGCTGCTGTGCCGGCGGGGAGCCCGCCTTGCACGACCGCCCGCTGGTCGGCCGTCAGCGAGGCCCGCCAGGTCGAGTCGATAAACGGGCGTCGCATGAGAAATCCTCGCGGGACTCTTCCTGCATCATCCAGCTTGCCCTCCAGGCGCCATTGGCATGGCGACGTCTTCCTTCACTCTGCCCGAATCCCCCCCTTCGCCCCCCGCCCCGATGTCTTTCGGGGGGGCAAAGTTGGGGCGCCCAAGGTGGCCCAAGATGGCCGCGAAAGGGAACCGAAACTCCAAGGTGGCCCAAGAATGCCGACCATGCCTCGCGACGGCTTTCAACGCGCCCCAAGAGGCCGAAAATGCCGCTCCAAGACGGCCCCGGGTGCTCTCGGAGCCCCTCTGGGCGCCGAGAAGAATTCCACATGTTTCAAAACCAAAGAGTACATGAATTGCACCTTCTCGCTCTTTCGCTTCCGACGGGCTTCCGAGGCCTCGAGATGGCCCGAGGGCGACCCCCGCGGAGGCCCCCAGGAACGCACGAGGTCGGCGCGAGAACTCCCCGAGAAGCGATTGCGATTGCCCTTGAAGGGGGGGGGGGGGGGGCATCAATGACCCCCGTCTGCTGATCAACCGCCTCCAAGATGGCCCCAGGAAGCCCCCCATCGGCTCCTGGGGAGAGCCCCTGGGGACCCCAGACTGCCCCCCAGCGGGCCTCGAGAGCCAAGAGCGCCCCAACAAGGCCCCAAGACGCCCGCCCCCGCCCCCCCTCGCCCTCCCGCGGGCCGCAGGGGCGACCCGAAGTGGCCCTCCAAGCCCCCCCCCTGACCCCGGAGATCGCCCAGAACCGTTCACCACTACATGTGTCTCTTCGTCCCTTTCCCTGCTAGCTCTTCTCGACATGGTCCCCGAACGGGCTGGCAGGGGCGCGCGACGCGCGGAGACTTGCAAGCCCCCCATCGCCGCGCGCCGACTCATCCAGGCGCACGTCAGGTCAGCCTCGGCGGCGCCAGCGCCGCCGCCCCGGGCGCCCGCCGCTCGGGGCTCGCCCTCCACAGCGTTTCCGAGGCAGCGGCCACCTACAACTCTGATAAATAACATCAGTCCGCACTCGTCATGCGACCTGCGCCCGGTAGCTCTAGATTCTGACGCAACCAGCCTCGAGGGCCCCGCCGCGTCGCGACCTCGCGCTTCCCAAGCCCCCGCCGAAACGGAAAGCAGCCCGTCGCGGCTGCTCTCAATGACTAACCGCGAGATGCGTTTAACTCCCCAAATAAGGGCCAATGATTATTATCTCCCGGGGGCCGACGGAAGGACTGCGACACCTCGCAGCACTCAGCAAATAATGGCCCCACCGCTGCCGCCGCCGCCGAGGGCGAAGACGGGGGGGGGGGGGCAGGCGAAGGGCGAAGGGGGGAAAGGGGCAAGGCGAAATGGAGGGGGGCGGAAATCACTGCCAGCCCAGAAAGCTTTTTTTCTCTGAGGGGGCAGCACTGGAGATCTCCCGCGACTATCCGCGCTAGACCGCGCCCCCCTCGGACGGCCGCGACGCCTCCCAGGTTGAACGCGTTCCTGCCGAAATTCGCCACCGTGCCTCGCGGCGCGAAGTGGAGTTACTCCCGGGCTCGCATGTGTTCTCTGTTCTCTGCGCTCAGGACTGGGGGGGGCCTAGCATGGGCCTCAGATTCTCCTATTTCCCGGGCGCCACCGCGCGCCCCCAGGCTGCCTCGCGCTCTTTCCCCAACGGCCAGGGGGCCCCAAGACTGGCCCAGAGGGGCCCGAGAAGCGCCCGAGGAACCTCCGAGACACTCCAGGAGCGCCCCAAGACGCCCAAGTCCCACAGAAGCCCCAACAGCGCTCCAAGAGGACCCCAAGAAAGCCCGAAGAAGCAGACATCATTGATTTCCCTGCTGTTCGTCGATTTCTTTCGCGCTCTCGCGCTCTCGGGCTTCGGCGCTCCAGAACGGCCCCAGAAGCCCCTGGGGCGGCCCGCGATCCCCGCGAAGGCGCCAAAACGGTCCAAGAGGGCCCCAAGACGGCCCAAGAGGCGCCCAGGACCGCCCAAGACGGCCGCAAGACGGCCCCAGGAGGGGCCTGAGAGGGGAAACACGAACCGACAGTTCGAGCCGCCCCGACAAGCCCCCAGTCGGCCCCAAGGCCACCTGGAGGCCCCGCGAACCCTCAAGAAGCCAGAACAGAAGCCTCAAGCGGCCCCCAAGAGGCCTCAAAACTGGCGCCCAGAGGCCCCCGAGAGGCCCCTAACGACATCCACACGCACAGCCGCTAACCTCTAACCCACAACCCAAGCACTGTGGCAGGCTGGGCCGACGGCCACAAGATATGGTTCACGTGGCGACGCGAGGTCGCGGCTGCGGCGACGGCGCCCTGCCCGCGGCAGTTGGGCGCGGCAGCCAAGCCGAAGCGCCGCGTTGCTTCTGCCGTGACGCGGAGGATACATCGTTCCACGGTTGACTATGCTTGACGATGTGGCTATGTAGCGTGGCTGCAAGCATCGAGTACCCGCCCGACGTCAACGCGTCGTCGCGCATCTCCTAGGTGACGAATTTGTTCGTCACCTCGGTCACCGGATGTCACCGCGCCGCGCTGGGCACTCATCCCCAGCACGGCGGCTGGCCCGCCCCGCCCGCGCACGTCCTGATGGGGCGCGGTAGGTCGACCGGCCCCCTTGCCTGCGGCCCAGGGCATGACCAGGCATGGCGGCGAGCGCATCCGAGGCCCAGTTGGTTCGCGAGATCGCGCGCGCGCCTCCGCGACCCACTGCGGAGCTATATCCCGTTACTCCCGTCGTCCGCGAGAGTTGCGCGAAGCGCCGGCCGCGTCGCCAGGGGTCGCCAACATATTCAGCAACATCCGCGACTGCCGGTCACACCTTCCGTTGCACAGCGCGGCGCCATCACGCGAGTTAAGCGAATTGCCAGCAAACGCCGCATCGAACAGAGGTCATGCATGTTTACACGCAGACATTCACGCTGAAATGGTTCTTGCAGAGCACACCGCGTAGCAAAATCGCATGGCGTCTCTCGACACTTCTTGCGCGCCGGGAGCTCGAACTCGGACCGCGACGCCGCGGGCGCCCTAGCTGCAGGAGCTTGAACTCCGCAGCTCGGGCCGATGCCCCCGAAGGCTTCGGCGCCGAGCTCGACGCTTTCCTGCTGCTGCGCGGACGGCCGTTGGCGCTGGCGGCGGGCGGCGGTGCTTCGGCTGCTTCCGAGAGCCCCAGCTCCCGGGGCGCATCGGGACTGACCCGAAAGCCGGCGGCCAGGAAGAGCGCAGCCATGAGTGGTCGAGCTGCCCGCGGCAGCCACGCGCGCGGCAATGCCTTGCGCCGCGCGCTGACTGCGACCAACCGACGTCGCGGTCGCGATTTCCGCTGCGCCTCGAATTTCGGAAGGGCGCGAACAAATGCGGCGAGCTGGCGATGGCCAGGAGGGGCTTTTCGGCCCCGAGGCCTCGAGGCCCCTGGGCACCGGAAAGGCGCGGGTCCAAGACGGCCGCGCCCACCTAGAAACATTGTGAAGTCTGCCCCCGCGGCGGCACAGCGCCGAGCCACGCAGGTCTAAGTTGTTCGACGCAGACGCACCTGCCACCGTGGATCTGCGGCATCGCCACCTGCAGAAGATGACGCGCAAGGGGCCCCCCTCGGACTGAACCCTCCAGGTCTCGCGGTTGGCCCTGTAGTTGCGGCCGCCTGTAGGGCCCGCGCCGCGGCCGGGCGGCGCCATGACCGCGACTGAATTTTCCGTTGGACACGAGGCGCCCGAGGCGGCGCTGCTCCGCTGCAGGGTCTCTCGGAGCGCGCCCGGTCACCAAGTCAAATTTGTCGCTGGTCGCAGGCCGTCGGCGGACGGCGACCTGGGACGCGCGGGCCCCGCCTCTGCGCGACTCTCTGACCCGCGCCAGGGCCGCGGCGATGGCGCGCTCTTGGTTGGCAGCCTGGTAGACCAAAGTGAGGAGCGCAGCCTGGCGACCAAAGATGGCCCCTGCCGCGCGCGCCCTGGCCAGACTGCCCTTCCGCGCCATGTCCTCGCGGATCGTCGCCGGCGTCGAGGACGCCTCCCAC